CTAAGGAGGAAGCAGCACCACTGCTTACAAAGAGTGAAGAGAATAATGGGGTGACACCATTAGAGGGTGCATTTTGGCTAGAGCTTAAAAGAGTAGGCTCCATGGCAGCTCCAATGGTGGCTGTGACAGTATCTCAGTACCTTCTGCAAGTTGTGTCACTCATGATGGTGGGTCATCTTGGCATACTTGTCTCCTTCTCTGGTGTTGCCATTGCCTCCTCTTTTGCTGAAGTTACAGGCTTCAGTGTTCTTGTAAAGTCTTCTTCCACCTTTTTTCTTTTTCATATTTGGTTCAATGCATCTATTGCTGCTTAACCACTTTTCATATTTTTCAAATTTAAACATGTACAGATGATCTGATTCTTATCTTCCAAACAGTGTTTGTGCAGTTCAAGTGTGACTTAGATTAAGCTTCTCTTGACTTCTTTATTTTTTTTTTTAATCTTTTTAATTAGGAAAACTTTTTTGATCCGGTTATTCAGTTAGTACATAGCACTAACATACTGTTAGCCGCTTCATATGTGAAAAGTATAATGGAATATACTTTATTTTGATCCTTATTTGATTCACTTTGTTTTAGCTATTTTTTTTGCTAAAATGGATGTAAATCATGTTTTACTTGGAAACCCATTTGTAAATTGAAGGAAAAAAAAATTAAAACTTCTTAATTAGCATCGGTGATCATGTGATTACTGCAAATGATCTAGGAGATTTTCTTCCTTGTTCTGAAGATAGGATCCTATTTACTCTTTTTAAGTGTATAGAGTTGTTTCATTTAGGTGATAACACTTCCTCTTAGTCTGATATCAAACTTTTGATACAGAATCTGCAAAAATTGTTGAAATGAAAGTTGCAAACTTGAAAACCTCCCTCCATTCAACTTTATAATACCCATCAATTTTATAAAGAAACACAGTATATCCTAAATATTTATATTAAACTTAATAAAATCATAATCATAATTTAACGAATTTAATAGTTGGAACTCAAAATGCAACGCAACGTAACCTTTGAATCTTTTTCGAGTTTTTGCAATGAGTATTGGAGTGTCGGGAAGTATCGGACACGACACGTAAGATATTTGAAAGGTCGGTGCTTCGTAGATTGTCCTCTTTGTGTTTTGATGACTGACCAGATTTTGAAATGCCTTGCAGCTGGGAATGGCTGGTGCATTGGAAACTTTATGTGGCCAAACCTATGGTGCAGAGGAATTTAGAAAGCTCGGAAACTACACATGCTGTGCAATTGTGACTCTAATCTTGGTTTGTCTCCCCATATCTCTCGTGTGGATATTCACGGATAAGATACTCTTGCTGTTTGGTCAAGACCCTGAAATTTCTAATGTAGCTCGTGAATATTGCATATGCCTCATCCCTTCACTCTTTGGCTATGCTGTTCTTCAATCACTGACTCGCTACTTCCAGACTCAGAGTATGATCTTTCCCATGGTTTTCAGCTCAATTGCGGTTCTGTGTTTGCATATACCTATTTGTTGGGTTCTGGTATTTAAATTGGGACTGGGACATGTTGGAGCAGCATATGCTATTGCAATTTCATATTGGTTGAATGCCATTGGTCTTGGACTTTATATGAACTACTCTTCGGCATGTGAGAAAACCAAGATTGTGTTTACTAGTAATGCTTTAAGAAACATTCCTGAGTTCTGCCGTTATGCTATCCCTTCTGGACTTATGTTTTGGTAATATATATAACATAACTTTGCATCTCCCGGGACACAACTACACAATGGTTCTTTCACTTTTCTTTTTTAGTCTAATATTGTCTTCTCCCTAATTGGTTTTCTTATTTCAATCTTCATAGTTTTGAATGGTGGTCTTTCGAGCTTCTTACATTACTTGCGGGGCTTTTACCTAATCCACAACTCGAAACTTCAGTTCTTTCTGTCTGGTTAGTGGAATCAATTTCTCATCAAGTATTGAAATAACACATGAAGGTTTTTTTTCTTCTAACATATCTCAAACTTTTTCAGCCTTAACACAACTACATTGCACTACTTCATTCCTTACGCTGTTGGAGCTTCTGCAAGGTTTGGTCCAAACCTGTTTGTTCATTTTCATGATCTTGTACAATGATACTGTAATATCAAATGATGACAAAGCATGATCCTGTGAATTTCGTTTTGCAGCACTCGGGTTTCAAATGAATTAGGAGCAGGGAACGCAAAGGCAGCTCAAGGTGCTGTTCGTGTTGTTGTGATTCTTGGAATTGCTGAGGCAATTATTGTCAGCACATTCTTCATTTGTTGTCGGCATATATTAGGATATGCTTATAGCAATGACAAGGAAGTTATAGATTACGTCGCAGAAATGGTTCCACTTCTTTGTGTGTCTGTTACTGCAGATAGTCTCATAGGAGCTCTTTCAGGTGAGTTTCTATTTGCTGCAGCAGCATCATTCTATGTTCTTCTAGCATAAACTGCACCACCATGAGCTAACAATAAAACTGGATTTATGCTTGCAGGTATTGCAAGAGGTGGAGGATTTCAGCAAATGGGGGCTTATGTGAACCTTGGAGCCTATTATCTTGGAGGTGTTCCAATGGGACTCTTATTGGGTTTTGTCCTAAAGCTCAATGCCAAAGGGCTCTGGATGGGAACCCTAACAGGGTCTATTCTACAAGTTATTATACTGGCTATTGTAACAGTGTTAACAGATTGGCAGAAAGAGGTTGGTTTTTAATTTCTTATGTAACTTTTTCATTGCTGATAATTGCTTGTGTCATTTTTTATTTTATTATTTTCATTTTCCAACTATTTTATAAATGTCTCCTTTGCTTGCTGAATACCATGGATGATTGTATTTTGTGGTTATTTATTGCAGGCAACTAAAGCAAGGGAAAGGATAGTTGAGAACTCAATTACATCTCATAATGGATTCGCATAAAATTTGAGATATCTAATTGATGAATAAAAGAAAGAGTGGAAGAAAAAGGAAAGTGCTGACAATTTGATGTCAGTCTTTTGATTTTTTTTTTTGGGTGTCAGAAAGTGTATTTCTTACAGTGATTAAAGAGCTTTAGTTATGTTAACTGATAAAACTTATTCTGTATATATAGGATATTTGAAATGGAATTGTGCCTATGGCGTATGAGTGTATGACTCAGATGTCAGATGCCAGAAAATTATTTATAACATGTTCCAGTTATATGAATGTGGATCCGGGCTTACCTTTTGGTATTCAATTCATGTTCCACTTATAACTGTCATGTAATTGATAAGGTTTTTATGTTGTATAAGTAGAAAGACAGTTTCTACTCCCATGTAATTCACATTGAAGGCCATTTAACACGGGAATGATGTTTATGGTCTTGTATTGAGCTTCACAAATCAGAATTTAACACATTCAAGGTTATCTATGCTGTAACAACTAATTGGCCTTTTGTCTCTGGCCTTGCATTGTGCTCGTTGATGTATCTTAATGAGTTTCACTTTAGCAAAAGTTGAAAATGAATCATGTGGACCATGACTACTTCAATGCTTTCGGAAAAGGATCGAGTCTTTTTACGTGACAGTGTACGAAGACTTATGATTTGTCTTGACAACTTAATTCTGAAAATAAATTAAGGGTAAAACGAGAGTTATATTATAGGAAAACGTAAACATTTTCTGTTGACACAAAACAATAGATGGGCCCACATGTTTTTTTTTTTTTTAAAAAAAAAAAAAAGGAAAAAGAAATCACAAAGATGAATGTATCAGCTGGACAAATTTTTGGTTTTCCTGGACCGTTGTTTAAGTTTAACCCATAAATTAAACTATCAATGTAAAAGTAATTAATGAACCAAGGATCATCAAATTGAGAGGTATTTTCCTTTTTTTACTGTATATTATTTAAAATATCATTTTGTGTCGCTGATAGCAATCAAGAAAAAAAGAGAGTACCTGATCAACTATTTAGAGGAAATTGGGATTGTGGAAAAGTGATTAAGTTATAATTGACTAATAATATAAGGGAAAAATATATGTCATTTTAAATGATATAAAATTGTGTTATTTTAAGTGAGAGAAATATAATAAAGAGAATGATTTGTGTTTTTCAGACAATAACCTATGAAAGGAAGGTGCCTTTATTTATTATGAATAGTACAATATTGTTAAATGAGGGAGTCTAAAATTTTGGGATATGATTTTTTACGTGCCTTATGCTAAAATAAAAAATAAAATAAAATAAAATAAAAAATAAAATAAAATAAAATAAAATAATAATATAAAAGAATTATAAATGAAAAAATTAAGAATTTTTTTTCCCAATTTTGGTGTAACAGCTTCTAGCCTTCTACATCATACATGTACCTAACCATGCAGGAAATGCTTGAATTTCCAACATAAAGTCAGGTCCTCACCAACTGATTCTAATTAAATCTTTTCACAGCTGGGACATAGCGGAATGCGGAGAAAGGAAGAAGTGTTCATCCCGTTAATTATCAGCGCGTGTGTCACGTGGACAATGCATCTGGACACCATTTTACTATTTTACGATAAATTATCTGCACTAAGTTCAATACGATATCGTTTGAGACTGAAATTATAATATTTTTATAATTTTAATTTATTTCAGAATTATAATAGTCTTTATATTTATAATTTTCTAAGATTTCAATATCAAAACAACGTCGTTTTGAAAATAAATGCAGATAACTTATCTGCTAAAGAAATATTTTTCCCTTTATTATATCCAATTTTTATTAAATCAAAATTCCGTCGGGAAATCTAATCACAACGTGCATGTTGTAATGTACTCATTGGATCCAAATTAAAATCGAATTACATGCGTGTTATTACTTATTAAATAAGTTACTTTATTTTAATGGTTTTGCTTTCTAATTTCAACTCATCCAATGTTGTATTGTTTAATTATTTAAGGAAATGGATCCACCACTTATTTTGGACATGTGAACTCTCTAGAGCTAAAAAGCTTTCATCCTTCACCTGCTGGTTCGTACCCTTTAATCACAACACTCTGGGAACTCCAAAAGACCAAAATGGAAGAGACCCTGTTGCTGAAAAAGAGCAGTGAAAACAAGGGGGTGGAGACATCAAAGATTGGTGTCCTTCTCCAACAGCTAAAGAAGTTAAGCTTGATGGCAGGACCAATGGTTGTGGTAACAGTGTCACAGTACTTGTTGCAAGTTGTGTCGTTGATGATGGTTGGACATCTAGGTCAACTGTCCCTTTCAGGTGTTGCCTTAGCCACTTCCTTTGCAGATGTCACTGGCTTCAGTATACTTGTAAAGTTTCTCTTCTTTCCCTTCTAATTTATACTTAAAATCATGCATTTTTTTATTAATTTTTTGTTCTAAAACACTCATGTGTTACATGAACTAGCTAGGCTTCTTTTTTTCTTCTTTTTTTTGCTCAGAACCTGAGTTCTAAGGTGATAGATATCCATGGCGAAGAATATTAATTAAACATACCATGTTTGTGAAAATATCAGGTTCTAATAATCTGAAAGTTTTTCTATAGCTTTTAGGTATGCAATTAAAAATAATAGAGCTAACTTGTTTGCCCTGTTTTCAAATTAGAGATACATGGCAATTCTTTCACAAAATCTTACATATGCATATGATAGAACAATCCTTTATACCATTAGTAAATTTCAACAACAAAATCCAAACTTATATACATGTAGTGTTAAGCCAAATTCCCAAAATTTTGAAAATGTAATTTTACCATTTTAAACTTTTAGGATAATTGAATGAAGGATGACATGATATTGAAGTGAGTTTCATACTTGCCGCTCATGAATTCTGCACGTTTCCCTTTTAATATTATCCTTGAACAAGCATCTTTGCTAATTGAGTGTGTTTCTTTTTTGGGCAGTATCATTCCAAGAGTCAGAACTGAGAAGGATATTTTTGGTTGTTTCTTATTTTATTTTTGGTTGATATATATATTTTTATTAATAATTATAAAAATATTATTTATATTTATTTTTTAGTATTTTAAAATGAAAATGCTAGAAAAGATTTTTTTTATTATTTCCTTCACAAAATCTTATTTTATCATTTTTTTATAAATTCGGAAAATTAGAAATAGAATAAACATAAATTATTATAATTACTATTAAAAATATATCAACTAAAAAAATAAAAAAAAATATATAAACACCCACTGCGCCTCTTAGAAAAAATGTTGGAATAAGATAACTCATAAGTCCTTTTAAATCAGAAATGTTGCTTCCACATGTTGTGCACATAAATTTCATAAAAATAAGGAATATATATATATTAAAAAAATTAAGTTAATTTAAATTACTAATTCGTACTTATATGATTGTGTAAATTAAATATAATTACACATCTCAAGCAACACTATATAATAATTATTATTCTCTTATGCTCTGCTGTCTCATTGACATAAATGATAACAATTATGTTGTGTACTCTGCTCTGCTGGAAACTTTTACTGATAATAAAAGCTAAAGAGTTTGGTGTTGTGATGTTAGTGCTTAAAAAGGTGAAGGAGGGACAAATAATAGTCACATTAGTGGTTGACAAGACATTTAATAGGGACTAAGGAGTGGGAGTAACTAGGGTTCATAGCTAAAAGAAGTCGAGAAATGTCCATTGGCGTTTTTCGACACATTTTTTTTGTCACTAGATTTTATTTATTTGTTTATTTTTATGTTTGGCCAATTTAAGTTTGAAGTTAATATATGGTAAGATCTTTTGATATTAGTGTTAAATTTGAAATTTGACATCTCATATGAAGTTGTTAGATCAAAAAAGATCAATGGTGTCACATGCTTACAAATAAGAGTCGTTGATCTTTTTTGATCTAACGATTTTCAGATGAGGTGTCAAATTTAAAATTGAACACTAATGTTAAAGAATCCTGCCTCTATCAATATTATTATTTAAAGAAAAAGCATAAAAAATTATTAAATACTAAAAATATGTTAAAGTGTTACCAAGTTTTGGATGGACATGAAGGATGTAACGCATATTCTGCTACGAGTTTGGGATATTCTTTTTTTCTTTTTTTTTGGTAAATTGCGATATTCTCTTAGGCGCGGCGATCTGTTCGTGTCGAATTGTCAATTATTAAATGCTTCTCCATTACGTACATGTGTTATTGTGCTGGGTAGGGAAAACTTGTTCATTGGGTGGTACCCACCTTTGTCTTTTCTGTTTTTCTCTCACACTACGTACGTGTGTTGTTGTGAACCGCAGCTGAATGGGGTCCTTATTTTCAAGTCATTGTATCAATTGAGAGTATATAGAACGGTGCAAATTATATAAGGGTAATTGTAGTATCATGTGACAACAAAATTTTGTTGTTTCCTGCACACTTAATTTAAGGTGGGTCCCAATAGAAAAAAAGAGAAAAAAAATAAAAAAAGAAATGGCACAAGTGTCGAATATAAGATAAAAAAAATTCTTATTGCATAGGACTAACATTGCCCATTATATAATTAGTTTTAATTATTAATTTTATTTACAAATTATTTTTTTAATTTTAATTATTAATTTCATTTTAATAAACTAAAAACATTAGAGATAAGTACATTAATGAGTAAGATTTAATATAAGATTTTTCAATTATTCCCCTCTCTATATATTTTTGTAGTATTTCAAGAAGGACAACTGTTTTAGATTATTCTTAAATTAAGTAGTAATATTACACAGACAAAAGTTAAGAAATATGCAGACTTCTGGTGCAAGGTCACATCAATAGTTTTGAATAGGACGACAGACATTCCTTAACGAGGACACCCCCTCTCTCTCTCTTTAAGCTACCTCATTAATAACTAATACATAATTTATTTTCTAAAGTGTATGACACTTATTGTTTATAATTTATATCAGAGGTGTACGAGTAATTGGGTGAGAATCATTTTATAAGTAAATTATATCGTCAATCTTGACTATTAATATTATTTATGTTTAAGGACTCTCAGATTTATGTGATATGTAAGTTGTTAAATGCAATTAAATTAATGATCAAAATTTGATATAAATTTTTTTATTCTTACGATCATTGTAAGAATAATCTTCCTCGTAGTAATTTATATATTTTTATAGTATCCTGATTTGTCTGGTGTCATTGTGTTATTGGTGATTGATTGAACAAGAAATGGAATGCAGACGGGAATGGCTGGTGCTTTGGAAACTCTATGTGGCCAATCATTCGGAGCAGAGCAATTTCATAAGCTTGGAAACTATACCTCGTGTGCAATAATCTCTCTGATTTTAAGTTGTTTCCCAATATCTATACTATGGATGTTCATGGACAAATTGCTTATTCTTTTGGGACAAGATCATGCAATTTCACTTGTAGCTGGAAAATACTGCCTTTGGCTCATTCCTGCATTGTTTGGCTTTGCTGTTCTTCAAGCTTTGGTTCGCTATTTTCAGACTCAGAATTTGATCTTTCCCATGCTTCTAAGCTCTGTTGTTGTTTTAGTTTTGCACATACCTATTTGTTGGGTACTAGTGTTTGTACTGGGACTTGGACAAGATGGAGCAGCCTTATCCATTGCAATTTCGTATTGGCTCAGTGCCATATTGCTTGGAGTTTACGTAAAGTATTCTCGGGCATGTCACAAAACTAAGATAGTCTTAGGGACTAATGCTTTAAGAACCATCAAAGAGTTCTTCCTCTTAGCCATCCCTTCCGCACTAATGGTTTGGTAGGTTTCAAGTTTTGCACCTGTGTGATTGTGGAGGTCACTGAGTCAACGGTGATTCTTCTCTTTACTTTTTTGTGTCTTTTTTTACTATAACTTGTTTTTCTATATATCTTAATGGATATAGTTTGGAGTGGTGGTCATTTGAACTGCTAATAATACTTGCTGGACTTTTACCAAATCCAGAACTTGAAACTTCAGTTCTGTCAATCTGGTGCGTTCCTTCATTATCTTGTTCTGTAAATATTGAATTGAAAAGCTTATTACTTGAAAACTCAGTGATTTATCTGACTTGTGTTTTCTTTGACCAGCCTTAACATTTGTACATTGCACTATTTCATTCCGTATGGGGTTGGTGCTGCAGTAAGGTATGCATGCATGCTCATATATATAAACATAAATATGTTATGTAACTTATTTTTGTGTTTGTTATCTCGACTTGGTGGAAAATCAAGCGCATAATATAAGAATATATCATTCTACATTTTGTAGTACACGGGTTTCAAACGAATTAGGGGCAGGAAACCCACAGGCAGCTCGAGATGCTGTTTACTCTGTCATTTTTCTAGCTTTCATAGAAGCAATTGTCCTTAGCTCTCTGCTATTTTGCTTCCGTCATGTGTTGGGACTTGCATTTAGCAATGAGATGGAAGTTGTAAATTCAGTTGCAAAGATAGTTCCCCTGCTTTGTCTTTCTGTCAGTGTGGATAGTCTACTAGGAGTTTTGTGTGGTAAGTCTTCCAGTTAACTTTTCATCATTAATGAACCATATATATGCATGCTTTATCATGATTATGCCATGTGCATATACATTTTGAAATGTGAATGACAGTGATTTTCAATGCATGTTTGAATCCTCTCTTTCTTTAGTTTTTTTTTTTTTTTTATGACCAGAAGTTAGACCAAACAGGTTTTTATAAAAGCTCTAGAGTTTTTTATATAATGAAAAAAATAGTCAAAAGTTTTTACGAGGAGTTTTTTTTTTAAACTCTTATTAGTTTTTCTTGAAATGGAATTTGAGTTTTTAAATAACTTTTAAGTTAAAATTTTTATGTAATTAACAAATAACTTTTAGCTTCTTTTTTTTTTAGCTTCTTTTTTTAACTTTAGTTTAAAAGTAGATTTTAGCTTAAAAAAAAAGAGAGTATCTAAAGAATAGCTCTATGGTTAAAGTTACTGGATAAATATATGGCCAAGAATCAAAAAGGTTCATAGCTCTCAGCTGTGTGTTCAATGAATCAGGGGTTGCCAGAGGCAGTGGATGGCAGAAGATAGGGGCACTTACCAATCTTGTATCATATTATGCTGTGGGACTCCCAGTGGCTATCTTGTTGGGTTTTGGTCTAAGTTTAAATGGTAAAGGCCTATGGATTGGTATATTGACCGGGTCTACACTACAAACAAGTATACTTGCTTGCATAACAGCATTTACTAATTGGGAAAAACAGGTTCTTACTTCTGTGCTTTGCCTCTTGTTTATGCTATTGCTTTCTCTTAATAATAATAATCAATAATTAAGACAGAAGAATAGTCTTAATGGAAGATGTCTTCAGTTCACATGTTACATTATTAGCATATTTGCAAGATTTATTACACTCTTATAATTTGCAGGCATCCTTGGCAACTGAGAGAATATCCGAGCATGATGAGGGTGATTTTCTAGCTCATAATGGATTTGCTTGATGCTTGAAAGTGAAGGGAATAAAGTTTCTGTAATTTATCCTAATCCTATTTGTGAGAAATAGGATATATATTATAAGAGAGCGAGTTTTTTTTGTGTGTGTGTGGTTAAATGTGAGAGTATTAATGTTGAATGATGACTGCTGCTGCAAACCTTGTTTATTGTAATAGTTTTTGCATATCCGTATTTTATATTTTTTGGTCCTAAAGACATAATATGCCTGACACTTAACAAGTATGTGTTTGTAGCCATCTCGTAAGTACAGATGCTCTTTTAGGTTACACAAAGGACTAGAACAGTCTCCTGACCATAAACAAGCGAGCTGCATCCCTGTTAACAGTCATATTTATATTAAGCAACATTTGGTACCGAACGTTTGTTAGTCTCCTTGAATGCTGGTTTCAGGATTGTTATTCACCAAAGCATACAAGACCAAATAAACAACAACGAAGAACAGGGTATTGAAATAAGAAAAAGAGGTACAAGGACAAAAAAAATAAAATAAAAAATTACAAAACATATCTTTGATTACAATGAGCATATATATAGTGTAATAAATTAAATCACAATTTTAATTTTTTAATTTCTCCAGAATTATAGTCGATTATCAAATTTTAGCTACAAATATTAATGGCAAATAGATTTAATTAAAAAAAATTCCTCGGTAATTGTAGGCATGATCTTGCTGAAAAGTTTTGTCCCTTTGCAAACTAATCTAAAGTTACCTAAGATTTCAGCATTAAATGGAATATGTTAAACATTAATTTTAGGCGGAGGAGCCCATAAGTAGGAGCTCATTTTCAGTAACATATTACTTTCATTCAAAATCTAACACATATATTTACGACTCCACTTTTTTCTATTACATGTCAGCATTGATATTTGATGTTTAATTTTGGTTGAAGGGATGTACACAAAAGTGGGTGCATTTGTAGTATTATAGAAATTTCTTATAACTAGGAGAGATGTACATCAATGGATTTAGTGACAAATTACAATAGTAAGCTTGATACCATATATTTGACCCCCAAAAAAAAAAACTTAAGACAATAATGTATTGAAAAAAACTTAAGAAAATAAGTATATAAATAATTTTCTCTTTTATAATCTTTGCTAGAGTCATTTTTAACTAAAGTAAAAATTCATCACTGACATTGAAATTTCTAATTTTTTAATAGAAGCCTTAAGTCAATGCTCCACAAACCAGAATACAAACCACTCTTTCTATATTAAGTCTATCCAAACTATTAGTTCTTATACCACTTAATAAGGAGTTTAGGAGAGCTCATAAGTAAAGGAGCACATAGATTACCAAAAAAAAAAAAAAAGCACATAACTAGGGCTTTTTTACTCTTATAACCCTTTATTATTAATTAATTACCGATTTGACCTTGATTATAAACTATTTCAAAAATTTAACCCTCTCAAAAAACATAACACCAATCTGCCCCTGTTTGACCGTTGACCACCAAGCCTACCCGGGTACACCCCTCTGTACTCGGGTATTTTTTGAAAATTTTTGTCTACCCGGGTAGGGAGGCGTGTACCCGGGTATTGTTATTCGCACCTGAGAAACTGCTTGAATTATTTACCCGGGTAGAGAGGGGTGTACCCGGGTAAATCTTCGACCACCCGGGTATGATTACTCTTTGGATCTCTCATGCACTCTTCTTCTCCAAGCTTTGAATATGGAGGCACCCACTATCACATGCTCCGCCTCTGCAACTTTTTTGGGTCTGTAAAGCACACAAATATTTTTCAATGATTATTTTAGAAAGGGAATTCTCAGTTAACACTATAAAAGTAGACCCCATCATAATCGATACGAACAGGGACCGCTTTGATGAGCAGTAAAGTGTTGATGTATGGAAATTCCAAATCCATTCTCAAAGCTAAAAGCTCTTCAAATTGGTTAGGCATGCTTAACTTGATAATACTGATCTATCTCATTAGCGGTAAAAAAGAGAGAAAAAAAAATTACCATGAAACAATTAATTACACATCCGCAAATATAATTAACTTGTGGTAAAATCAAATAAATCATATCTGTTCTTATATCCATCAGCTACAAGTTGCCCCAGTTATAGCAAGTACCAAATGGGTGGTCGAAGATTTACCCGGGTACACCCCTCCTTACCCGGGTAAATAATTCAAGCAATTTCTCAGGTACGAAGAACAATACCCGGGTACACTCCTCCTTACCCGGGTAGACAAAAATTTTCAAAAAATACCCGGGTACAGAGGGGTGTACCCGGGTAGGTTTGGTGGTCAACGGTCAAACAGGGGCAGATTGGTGTTATGTTTTTTGAGGGGGTTAAATTTTTGAAATAGTTTATAATCAAGGTCAAATCGGTAATTAGTTAATAATAAAGGGTTATAAGGGTCAAAAAGCCACATAACTAGGGTAGATCTCCGACAACCTACCACTTATAAAGTGGTTTAGGAAGGCTCGTATGTAGGGGAGTTCTCCATCATCGGACTAACCAATAACAACAGCGAGCTAAGACAGCAGTTTATCATCTAACTTGAATTTTTAACAATCAAATTCACAATTATTTATATAAAATGGTAAATATAAATAAGAAAAAAATTGATTTTGTTAACTAATCAAAGTAAAGCAAAATCAAAAAGTGAATTGATTCAAGTGGTATATATTTGATTCCACTTAAGTAAGATTTTATGTTCAAATTTTTGCAAATGCAAAAAATCTTCTGTGAGAGAGCTAGTCCCACCATGACGTGGATATTCTCGGCTCGAACAGGATTGACTCCTATGGAAGATATATGTAGTTTATCCTAAAAAAATAAAGCAAAGATAATGACAAAAAAAAAAGTCATGTCAATACATGCCTTAGACCATATTATGGCAGAAACAAGCAACATAAATGTAAGATTAAATAGGATTTATTTGTACATTATCAAGATTAAGGTATGAGAGTGGAGGCTGAAGGGTGATGACAGAAGAATAGGGAGCACAAAGGAGTGAGATGCCATTCCTTTTCATGCATTTCATCATCTGTGCTCTCTATCTTCTGTCAACAGCATCACCAACCCCTCCTCTCATGATAAATTATATTGATGTAAGATGAATGAGCTAGATAGAACACCAAATAAAAAGAAGACAAATGACAGATAATTAATACACCAAGATGAAAGCTTGAAATTGGATAGTAATTGAACTTTCAGGGGAGGGAAAAAGGGGTGGAGGGAAGGTCCTCTCCTTGTTGTTTGTGTAACAGGAGTAAGAGACCTTAGAGCTCTATGATTAGGAAAGATGTCTCATATGGCTCTATTTATAGAGAAAACTACTGCACAATGCCTTCCCTTACAACTTTTTCCCCCCCACAATATTTATATGAATAATAAAACAATTGTCACTTTCACTTTCTTGCGTTCACACATCCCACTTCTCAGTTGTTACCTTGATAGTTGATACTACGTGAACGTCGATATGTCGTGCCAATTAGGCCTGTAATATGTTAGCTGGACGTAAATCGGAAAGACAAATGCTACATAAAACAATGTTATCCTTATCGAATGTAGTCAAAGAGAAACATGCCACAAGAATAAGGAATTTCAATTTTGAATTTTATATATTTGGTATAAATAGTATAATATATGGCATATTACTGCAATATTTCCGAATTTTTTTTATACAAATACTTGTTTTTTAGAACATTACAGCCACATGGCACAAATAATTGTTTAAATAATAGGAAATATTTATTTAAAAAAAAAAAAAAAACTCTGGTTGATATCTATGTGGTATTGCATTATGTGCTGCGCATTTCAAAATAGTATTCGTCTAGATAAATTCTGTTCAACAGTAATGCCCATCTTACAAACCGTTGTAGAGCCATTGAATACCCAACTTGGAAAGATGATGTAACATGGGGGGAATCTATTTGTCGATTTTATACTCTCCTTGCCATTAGTGGTATAAGAATCAAAGAAGAACATAGCCCACTTCACTTTAGTTTAATCGTTTGGAAAATTCTCAGCAAAAAATATGGAATTATTTGTTTATGCTGTAATCTAATAATGTTGTTACATGTTTAATAAGTTTTACACTATCAAAGTCTTTAAATCAATATCAACACCTTTATCCTAAATTAGTTGGGATTGGTATCAAAGTCTTTAAATATTGTTGAAAAAAATTGTGGTAGGTATGTGATGTGTTCAAATTTATTATATTTGTTTTATTTTTGTAATTTTAACTGAGGTGGCTCGTTTAGCAAATAATAAGATAAACCTCCATCAATTAGAACATAAGTGGGGGAGATAATGACATCAACCACAATCTTCAATATTCAATCCCACCAAACACTTGCTTTAACCTAAACTATTAGTTCTGGTATCTGTTAGCTAAACTTGATACCACTTCTTAGTCCAAAATCTTAAAACAATAAATTCTTGAATGTATACAATCCTCACTTATTCAATTTATAACCAATGGGGAGTTTACCCCACACTTGAATCCTAAAAATTTTACAATTTTATTTGAAATTTGTAAATACATGCGAATACATGTTTAGCTGTTAGGTTCATGAATGGGTACAGGCAAGGAGTATGGGGACAAGGGCAGGAAAAGCAATAGTATCCGGTCCCGATCTAGCATGTTGCCATCTTGACATGGAGGGAAAAAGACAGAGAGAGTACACATGCAAGTTGCCAAGAGGCATGGAGAAGAAGAATACAATGTGTTGGAACCGAGACAATCTCACACACACGATCGCAAATCAGGTCAATTAGGAAGAGAAGAAAATTGAAGACACAAATTTAAGTGGTTAACTCAATATGATCAATATGCAATATATCACTACATTCAAATTATAAGAAGAATATAAATAAGATTGAAAATCCTAAATAATAGTAATAAGTAGCGGACCCAGAAAAAAAAGTTTATGTCTGCACACTTAGAGAGAGCAGCCCCCGAAATTTTTTTTTTAAAAAAAAATTTTAATGTATTAAAAAATTTATAAACAAGAAAAGAAAAGAATTATAGGGATTGGTTAGGTTG